TTTGGAGGGTCGGGGCTGGGGATTCGAACCCGCCACCTTAGGTGTACGTGGCTGGCGCCTTAGCTGGTTGAGCTATAGGCACCGAGCCTAGATAAAAGTCTTTAACAAAGTATTAGCAAGTCAAATCCATCAATATATAAAAAGGGTAATACATCACAGTGAAGTAGAATTTATTCTGGGAATGTGTGGTTGATTCAGCATTCAAATATCATTTAATAGAATTCACTAGGTCATCATTCTAAAGAGAAAAAGCTCTATGGTCGTCCCAGATGCAGAAAAAGTATTTGTCAAAATTTAACATAATTTGTGATAAAAACTCTCAGCAAACTGGGAATAAAAAGGAAATTTTTTACCTTGATAAAGCAGTTCTACTAAAAAAGTATATAATCAACATTTAGTGGTGAGAGATTAAATATCTCCTCCCAAGATCGGGAACAAGGCAATGACATCCATTCACACTTCTCCTATTCTGCATCATACTGGAAATCCTTGCCCGTGCAGTAAAGCAAAAAAGGGAAATAAAAGATACACAGATTGGAAAGGAAGAAACAAAACACTTTCTATTATTGTGTAGAAAATCCTACATAATTTTCTATGTAGAAAATCCCAAGGAGTCTACAGAAAGACTTCTAAAATGGGTGAGTTAAACAGGGTCACAGAAAAGAGGAGCAGTACACAAAATTAGTTATGCTTTTATACACTAGCAATGAACAGGTGGAGGTAGGGCGTTTTTAAAAGTGCTATTTACAAAAGCACCAAAACACCAGAGATACTTCTTGAGTAAATCACAGAATATATTCGGGAGGATCTGTATACAGAAAACTAGCAAACGTTGGTGAAAGAAGGCAAAGACCCAGGTAAATGAAGAGATGCCTTGTGTTTGAGAATGCCAGGACTTAACAGAAAATTCTTTCTCTCTTTAAATGCTGTAACAATCAAAATCTCAGTCAGATTTTTTTGTTTATATTGGCAAGGTTTTTAAAATTTAATTGAAGGCAAAGGAACTACAGTGAGCCAAAAAAGTTTTGCGAAAGAACAAAGTGGGAGCCTTCACACCACCTGTCGTCAGGGTATAATGTAAAGCTCCAGTATTCAAGGCGACCTGGTATTGGTTAAAGTATAGACCCGTAGAACAATGGAACAGAAGTGCAGAAATAGAGCCACACACAGGTGGCCAGCTGACTTTTGACAAAGGTATAAAACCAATTCAGTGGAGAAAGGGATAGTAAGACTCTTAAAAATAATAATGAAACTAATAACATGCTTTATAAAAATGGATAAAAGTTTGTACAGATGCTTTACCAAAGGAGATACTAGAGGTAGATGAGCATCTTTTTTTTCCTTTTCTTTCTTTCTTTTTTTTTTTTTTTTTGCAGTTTTGGCTAGGGCTGGGCTTGAACCCGCCACCCCGGTATATGGGCCGGCACCCTACTCCTTGAGCCACAGGTGCCACCAGCAGATGAGCATCTTTGCATATGTTTAATGTAATAGTTGAATACAGACTACCAGTGCCTGTAGCTCAGCGGCTAGGGCACCAGCCACGTACCCTGGAGCTGGTGGGTTTGAATCCAGCCGGCCTGCCAAATAACAATGATAACTACTACCAAAAAATAGCCAGGCGTTGTGGTGGGTGCCTGTAGTCCCAGCTATTTGGGAGACTGAGGCAAGAAAATGGCTTAAGCCCAAGAGTTTGAGGTTGCTGTGAGCTGTGATGTAACGGCACTCTCCCAAGGGCAACAAAGTCAGACTCTGTCTCAAAAAAAAAATAGTTGGGTACAAATTAAAATTATGAGATACCACTGTATACCTATTGCATAAATAATGACAATACCAAATGCTGGCCAAAATGTGCAGCAATTGGAATTCTTACATACTACTAGTAAGGAGGCAAATGGTACGGCTACTTTAGAGTGTGGCTTGGTGGTTTCTTACAAAGTTAAACACACGATTAACCTACAGTCCAACAATTCCATTCCTAGGATTTGTTCAAGAGAAATGAAATCCCTCTTTTTTTTTTTTTTCCTTTGGAGACAGTCTTACTGTGTTGCCCTGGGTAGAGTGCTGTGGCGTCACAGCTCACAGCAACCTCCAACTCTTGGGCTCAAGCAATTCTCTTGTCTCAGCCTCCTAAGTAACTGGGGCTACAGGCGCCTGCCTCAATGCCAGGCTGTATTTTGATTGCAGTTGTCGTTGTTGTTTAGCTGGCTTGGGCCAGGTTCAAACCCACCAGCCTCGATGTATATGGCTGGCGCTCTAACCTCTCAGCTACGGAAGTTGCCCTAAAGTCCCTCTTTTTATACAAACCCCTATATATGTATAGTACTTTATTCATAGTTGTCAAAAATTTGAAGCAACCCAAAAATCCTTCTGGTGAATGGGTAAACAAAGATTTGTCCATACATGTATGTCCATAGCATACTAATATTATTTAGCAACAAAAACGAACAGGGCTTGTTTCTCAAAAGAAACCAACAGATATTTCTCGACAGAAACTAAACTAAAAAATGCTTCATAGTGGGCAGCGCCTGTGGCTTAAAGGAGTAGGGCACCGGCCCCATATGCCTAAGGTGGCAGGTTCAAACCCAGCCCTGGCCAAAAACTGCAAAAAAAAAAAAAAAAAAAAAAAAAGCTACATATTACATGATTACATTTATATGATGTTCTGGAAAAGTAAAATTATAGGAACAGAAAGTAGTATGTTTGGTGGTTTCCAGGATTTGGGCTAGGGGAAGGTTTGACTATAGTGGGGCATGAGGGAATGTTTTGGGGTGACGGAACTTTCTGTGTCTTGATTGTGATGATTACTTTACATATGCATTTGTGAAAATTCATAGAACATATACCAAAGAGTAATGTTTTTGCATATAGATTTTGAAAAGTCAATTAAAAAGTAACAAACCACTTAATTCTTTTTTTTTTTTTTTTTTGGAGACAGAAAAAAAAGGCTCACAGCAACCTCAAATTCCTGGGTTAAAGCAATCTTCCTGCCTCAGGTTCCTGAGTAGCTGGGACTATATTTTCCCACCACAATGCCTGGCTAATTTTTCTTTTTTGGGGAAAGAGGGGGTCTTGTTCTTGCTCAGGCTAGTCTCAAACTCCTAAATTCAAGCGATCCTCTCGCCTTGGTCTCCCTGAGTGCTAGGATTACAGGGGTGAGCCATCACACCCAGACAAAACGCTTAATTCTTTTTTCCAAGATGAGCATTGGCTTTGCTTTGAGAAGTAGGATTCCAGAAGCTCTTCCCTTCCTTTCCTTAAGGTCTCTAGAGGGTTGACTGCCTTCTCTGGATCTGTAGTACTAGAAAGCCTCAAAGTGGTGGTGACAGGTCTTTTCCTTCTTAATAGGATGGGAAATGGCAAAATGTATTATTTTTTTCTTTATTTTTTTAAAATGGATTTTATCTAGGCAAACATTACAAATAATAAAGTGCACATATTTTTAGCATACAGTTAAATGAGTTTGGGCAGGTTTATATACCCATCTAAACCACTACCCTAAGCAAGAATTATTTTATTTTATTTTAATTTTTTAATTTTGAGATAGTGTCTCTATTGCCCAGGCTGGAGTGCAGTGGTGTCATCATAGCTTACTATCCTGGGCTTAAGTGATTCTCCTGCCTCAGCCCCCCAGTAGCAGGGACTACAGGTACCTGCTACCACATCTTGGTAATTAAAAAAAAAACAAACTTTTTTTTTTTATGTTAGTCAAGCGGTTGGAATAGAGAAGAGACAAGGGAATCTGTAACTGGTTGTGATCAATTAGTTGTGAACACTGCTGCACTCAGACCAGCCTTTAAATTTTTTTTGTAGAGACAGAGTCTTGCTATGTTGGCCAAGCTGTTCTCAAAATCCAGCTTCAAGTGATCCTCCAACCTTGGCCCCCCAAATTGCTAGGATTATAGGCATGAGTTACTGGGTCTAGCCCAATATGTGCATCCTCCAAAAAGTTTCCTCTGCCCATTTTCTAGAGCATTCCTCTTAGCTGTAACACAAACGTAAGCGCCTTTCTGTACTAGCTGTTGTCATTCACCATTATTTTGTAAAGGCTGTGCTATGTCTCCAGTGTGTGAAGATGGTCTCTTGAAGCAGCCTTATACTGTTTCATTCAGCCTCGCACCGTTCATTAACTATTTTCCCCTCTTCAGGGGGGGATGAACCAGCTGCTAGAGCTCTCGGCCACCATAGACAATACCTTAGCAAACGGTAAGGTGTACCATCAGCTCTCGGTCACCATAGACGGTACAAATGGTAAGGTGTACCACTGGCTCTCGGCCACCATAGACAATACCTTAGCAAACGGTAAGGTGTACCACTAGCTCTCGGCCACCATAGACAATACCTTAGCAAACGGTAAGGTGTA